TCACCTTCCTGGTCTTTTGCATTAACGTGTCAACAAATAGCTAAATAATATATAACATGTCACAACGGTGACAATATTTAATTTGCTTCAATAAATATTCAATTATTTAGTAATCTTTTTGATTTTTTCTGAATGTGAGATGACAATATATTTTATAAGAATATTTGAATATTATTTTTTTACTTAGTTTTAACTAATTACAAATTTCTGAAAAATATTCACTCATTATAATTGATCTTCTATTTTCCTTCTTTCACAATGGTATTATAACTAAAAATTCTTATAATTTCTATAAATTCTTATAATTTAATAATTCCTACATAAATTCTATAAACTTCACAAACTTCACAAACTTTACAAACTTCACAAACTTTACAAACTTCACAAATATCACAAATATCACAAACTTCACAAACTTTACAAACTTTACAAATTCCACAAACTTCATCAATATTATATTTTATATATATCATATATTTTATATATATCATATATATTATAGTTATAATATTAATAATAAATATATAATTATCTGACAATATAATATCTATTATTAAAAAATATTTAATATAAATAAAGTGCAATTGAAATTCAAGAAAGATATCAATTAATCAATACAAAAACTAACTAGTCAATAAACTATTTTTTATTTATTGTTTAATAAAATTGTACATTAATTGATTTTATAATTAATATTATTATAATATTTATCTTTATTATATATTATTAGATATTCAACCAGGTTGTTATAGAATATCAGTATTGTATTGTTATAGAACTATTTATATACTAAGTAAATACAAAAAAAAGATAATTATTAATAGTAGTAATACTCTATTCTATTTTAATAGAATAAAAGAAGTTGTATTATATACTAATTTTAATATAACTAAATCAAAAATAGAAAATAATGAGAAATTATAATAGATATTGGTTGAACACTCACATCATGAGATTATCTATTTGGTATTCAAATTTTTCTCTTTTTATTATTTGAATAAAAAAATATACTTGTTATAGGTAACAAGAATTAATTCTTATTTTTTTATTTCAAGTATTGATGGAATTGTCTCTATCATTTTCTCTTTATATTTTGTTATTCATTCTAAATTTTTTATAATCTTTAAAAATTTATTCTAATATGTAATAACATTTTCTTATTTATATTTATTGAAGTACATTCCTTTTCAATATTCTTCAAATTGATATTTTAAAATGTTTAACCATTTTTTTATAGTTTGTAAACTGATTATTTTTCTGATTCCTATATACTCTAACAAAATTACATTATTAATAAATTGTTTAAATTTAGATAAACTAATATTATTTATCTCTGATTTCTGCTATATTCATTATTTACATCTTAATATAATATTTTCATCATTAATAAGTTATTTATATTTTTGATATTAATCATAGTAAATAAGTGAAAATGATTTGTAATATAAATAAAATTTAATCAAAAAGCAAATTTTTTAGCTATATATGATTTTAACAAAATATAGACTATATATATTGCTTTCTTACTTACTTTTATCTTATCATTTTCATCATCTAGCTATATAAAATATTCATAAACAGTCTGTTATTTGTTGAAAGCTGTGAATATTTGTTCATTCTTCAAAAAATCTTTCTAAAATTGAGCAATTCTTTCATAAAGTATAGAAGATATTAAATATATGAAAGATATTAAAAATGCTGAAAACATTGAATATGCAAAAAATATTAAAAATACCAAAGATATTGAATATATAAGAGATATTAAAAATATTAAAAATATTGTATTATTGCTTATTATAAACAAAATTCTTTACAAAATTCTCAACAAAAATATATAATTAATTTTACATAAATATTAAAATAATATAAAAATGAATTAATTATATTAAAAGCTAAATCTACAAATCATCATATTAATAAATTTTTATATTCAAATATTAAAAAAAATTAAATAAATGAATTAAAATTTTGTGCCAAGATGAAATTGTTGTTATAACATATATGATTTAACAAAAAATAAAATATCTTTTCAATAATGAATACTTATAACAATATCCTAATACTAAAAATATCTTTATGATATTTTATAATTGACTCTATGACTTTATGAAATATTATAATTTTTTTATATGTCAAAAAACAAAAATTTGACAAAAATTATCTAAAAATCTTTCTTTAGAATTAGAATTATTTAATATATTTATTAAAATATATACTTTTAAAAATCAATATTTTTTATTACAAATTGCAAATATAAATAAAACTCCAATTTTTTTTGATATAATTAATAACTCAACAATAGAAAAAAAAGACATACATATAGTTCAACTTTGCATTATAGGAAATAATAAAAATTATTTTACATATATTTTAATAATTCTTGCTAATAGAACTAAACTTAAATCTATAATGATTTTTAAAGACAAAAAATCTTTAAAAAATCCTTCTTCTAATATTATAGTTAGAATGCAAGAAAATAATTGGATAAATGAAAATTTAATAATAACTTGGCTTCAAAAAATATGGAAAAATCATTGTTAATAATAGATAATTTTAAAGATCATAAAACAAGTATTGTAAAAGGAAATGTCAACAAAATAATATTGATTTAGCTATTATATCTGGTGATCTTACATCACTTGTTCAATCATTAGATATTTGTATTAACAAACTCTTTAAAGATAAAATGTGTATAAAATAGCAGAATTAAATGGAAAATAAACAATATACATTTACTAAAGGTGGAAATTTATGAAAATCTAATTATGATTTAGTTTGTAAATGGATTTTAGAAGTGTGGGATGATATACCTATAAAAAATGATTCATAATAGTTTTAAAAAATGTAAAATTATTGATTAACATTAAAATTTATTGACAAAATTTATCAATATGCATATAGGGTATATAATCATGTGTTTTTTTTCAAAGCTACAAATTAAAATATCAAATTTATGTTGGTTAAAATATTATTTTTTTTTTTAGATATATCGATATGAATCGAAGGTAAAAAGAAGTAAAAGTATAGAATAGTAAGTAGAACAGGAATTATTTGTTTAGTTAGATCTTAATCTACCAAAAAAAAATACTGTCCGTCTCTATTATCATTTCACTTTTTAGTCTTAGGCTGCAAATCATGGTAGCCAATGCAGAATGCAATAGATCGTTTCCTGCTGTGAATTTAAAATGATATGTCACGGATTACTTGATTAACTTCTTCATTACCCAAGCTTGGCGTAGCATATTCTTGAGAAGATCGGAGTAGGTCCATCCAATACCACGTGCGGCCAAACTAACTAAGCTATCTTGGCTATTGCGTCCCGGCCGCCCTGGCCCTGTTATGTTGGGTTTCATATTTAAATCAAACAAAAAAAATGGCTTTCCTAGCTCCACTCTGCGACAATCTATGCGAATCGGGGCCAACGGTTTTAAAATCCGTCCAACTCTCTCACAATCTCGCACAATCTTTTGATAGGCAGGATCTTGTATTTCCAAACCGCTTAGCAGCGTACTATTCTCCGTTACAGCAACAACGCCACTATAAGGCATAACACCGTCGTGGTGATCAAACCGTTTTACTAATGGTAGGTGCCAATAATCATCAAACTTAGTATCTTTAAACTTAATGTCATACATACCAGGAGGCATGATAACTACAGTTATTTCCTCTCCTTTCAAGTATTGTTCGAGAATTAACGAATCTCCAAATTCAGAATAACGCTGCCCATTAATGACATTTCCCGAGGATAGAAGCTTTTCGGCATGCGCTTTGAGCTGCTCTATAGAATCGACTCTTTTAACTCCTTGGCTTCCTCGACCACGTATGGGTTTAATAATAGCGGGGAAATTGATATCACGTAAAACCTCTGGGGTTAGGTCATTCAATCCATAAATACCATTATGGCTTGTATATCCAATGAGGATTGAATGGGGAACTGGGAGTGCATAGGTTCTAATTAATTCATTCGTTATCCACTTGTTATCGTATTTTTGTGTTGCCTCAGGAAGTTGGCCAACAACTTTAACGTTATTCAAAATATTCGTATTGTTCAGTGGGTGGGCATCAAATAAGACGGTATTTGCCCAAATCGTCTTTGCCCCTTTTGCGATCGCAGAACCTATTCCTTCCTTTGTATCAGGGAAAACCCAATCAATATTTGAGGACGGATGAGGATTATCAATTGGCGCGACTATAGGGATGCCGTTAGATCTCAATGTATAGGCAATATCTGCTCCGCTATCACTATAACCTCCAGACTTCATTGGCTTTCGAATTCCATTGATTATAGGAGGTTGCAATGCTTGATATAATATGGCAACCGGAGTGATATTCTTAAATGGTGGGTTATAAATCTTTTTCTCAATATCTATCATAATTTGATCAAGTCTAATGTCTATTGATTTATGTTTGGAACATAGTTATAGTGGACAACGTAAAATCAAAGCAATGATGTTTACCGTAGTTTGCAATAAGGAGTATTGGAATCATGATCATTCAAGTAATAAATTTGAGTACCTCTATGTAACCCCCGAATTTACTAATTTCTCCCCAAGTTTTGATTGGTTGAGGATATTAAAGGTTAGTTTTAATGTTAGGATTAAGGGTTAGGGTTAGAACCAGAGGAAAGGTTGTATGTAAATTGTCATCCCGACATTTTTTATTAGTGCTTCAAGCCAGGTTTCCCATTCACTTTCCGTATTTTTCACATTATTCGCCTTTTTAATTTTCTTGTGTCGAATTTGTTTTTCCGGGTTGATTGGGGGGGGGTTAGTAAATGCGTAGCCCCACCCGATTTGGACTAATAAAAAATGTCGGGAAAACGATTTTATATATCTATAACCTAGATCACCATCCCTAATCCTGATCTTAAAACCATTTAAAATTAATCTTATTACAGTAGAATTTTCCATTGCTATTGGTTATTACAGTCTGGGATAGTGCTCCAACCAGATCGGATCCAATCCGTGACCCGACTCAGAACGCACATTTCGGATCGGATCGGGATCAATCCCGACCCGAAATATTTCGAATCAGCCTAAAAATCATTATTTCTCATTCAATATTAATTGGAATTAAATGAAAATTTGTGGATATATACACAATTATATTTCAAACAATTTTGCTTAAACACAAAATACAAGTGTCTTAGTAAAAATAAAAGTTATTAATAAAAAACTATTTTACGATTTTGAATCAAACCTGATCTGAATTTGATCCAATCCAAAATTATCAGTTCAAATTGATCTCAAACACAATCTGACCTGATCTAAACAGTGCTTTAATCTGGATTTTTTTCATAAATAGATAATAATAATTATTTCTTTTTTTAAAATAAAACAAATTAATTTAAATTAATATTTTTCTTATAATATTGTAATTTGATATTTTACGAAAATGATTGTTATAAATAATAATTGCAAATGATTATTTCAAATAATTACTTCAAGTAATTCTTTCAAGTAATTGTTTCAAGTAATTACTTTAAATGATTATTTCAAATAATTATTCCAAATAATCATTTCAAATAATTACTTTTTATTTATCAATTATTTATAAATATTACATGTATTTTAGCTAGAAAAATTAATAAAATAAATTCTTTAGATAAGCTAATAGTTTTGTTTTTATTTCTTTTAATAATTCTTTAAATAATTTTTAATATAATCTCTTATTTTAATTGCAAAGTTATTATTATTATATTTGTCTTATAATTTCTTATCTTAACTATAAAATTATAACTCTATTGCAAAATTATCATTATATTATTAAAAGATAATAAAATATTAGTATTGTTACTAAGGATACTTGCCTAAATCCTTTCAGAAAAATATCATCATAATTTTGACGGGTTACACACTAATTATTAATTAGAATTTTGACATAATTTTGATTACGACAGATTTTAAAATTCATCAGAATTTCGATGGGTTATTTACTAATAGTTTATTATAATTTCGACAAAATTTAGACAGTCACTAAGGGATTTCGG